CATGCAGACTGTATGTGTGGTATGTAACTGTGAATGGGGGGGGTGAGGGGCTGCGTTTAGTGTTACCCGAACCCTGTGTGTACTAAGTGTGTCAGCTTTGTGCCAGGACGCTGGTATCGTGCCAAGGCAGTGGAAAAAGCCCGGAATTCAGGGGCGGCGCTTTCAGCTCTCTGGGCTGCGGAACTTGTGCCCAGGCTGCCCAGGCTGCGGCGGAAAGGTGCCGCTTTCATGCGAGCGCATGAGTGCTCCTGTCGCAGGCCAGGTGGCCTGTGGCGTTGTGCCTCGGGCCTTTCTCCTATCGTCTCTGTGGGGCTCTGTGGCCTCCCTCTTTTTGTGTAACGCACTCTGGGGTGATTAACGCCGCGTGAGACGTACGCTGTCCGTTCACGGTGTCGCTATGATTTACTGGCTGCGAGCAGAGTGCAGTCGCAGGGTCACGGGGACCCAAACTCTGCCAGACGATCTGCAGGACAGCATCACCAAAGCTCAGCATAAGCACATTCACCTTCACATTCTCTGACTTCGTCTTTGTCTTAACTTCCTGTTTTTCCTGGCTGTCGCCCGCTCTTCCCTCTCCTCTCTCGCTCTCTCTCTCTCTCGCCCCCCTTCTCCAACACTCTCTCCCTCGTTCTCTGTATAATACTGCTGACTCATACAGGATCTCGACATCTCGTCCTTAAAAGGTAACGACTCAATGGCAGAGGAACACCGCAGTTTTATAAATGGCCATTTTATTGGCCGTGTTGCTATATAGTCCAAACAAGCCCCTCGCACACATAAGGACGTAGTTTGGCATTTTCCCACACACCGTAGGGGTGGGACACATGGGTAAAAATGGGGCCACTAACATCGCCTGACTGATGGGCAACAGCATTGTACCCAGATTGTGAAGGGGCTTCGACTGTGGGAACGTAAAATGATAAACATGTGATGTCAGCACATAGATAGACTTCTGCTACAATTATAAGCTTCACCATTAATGCAGGCCAAACTGGGCAGCGAGCTAGTGGTTCCATAACTGGTTAACCACATCGCCATGTCGCTGCGGGGCTGTGAAACCAGCAGTAGTTCTTGGGGCTGGAGGACATGCCCATTAGCTATGAATTGGTGGCGGGTTCATCCTCACGCGTGATTCCCTTTGGATGAAGCGTCTGTCTAAGAGAGACGGTGTTTGTATCGGCCACCCTGGCTGGGCCGTCCCCAGCACCTGCTCCCCCCCCCCCACCACTCTCATTGTCAACAAATAACCTTGTTTTGTCACCAGTGGCTGTTGCCGTCTGCATTTTTGAACCCCCTCCCCCCTCCCCCCACGTCTGTGCTTTAAGGCTCAGTAATTCAGTCCTTCTTTTAGGGGAGGGGAGTTTGAAAGTCCTGTTCAGCTGTTTCGACACACATTCTGCTGCAGCCGGAGTCTTACAGTGGTACATAGGAGTGGATCGTCTTCATATCAACACTGTTAGAGATTGTCAGATGGGGAGGGGGGGGTTACGGTCAGATCATACCCACCCAATCTCCAGCCCTCCCCAAAACCTGATAGTGATCTTGTTCTCCCCCCCATTGATGCCGAATTATTTCTCCTTTTACTTAGATCCTTGTTAGACTCATTTCCACTCCTGGACCTCGATAAAGTCCCTCTTCCATCCCCAAGCTGCGAGTGTCACACGGCCGGTTTTTTCTGCAATCTTTTTCATCCTTGTTTTAATTATGCAGACCCCACCCCTGTATTTCTTGTTAATTTTAAACCAAGATGCCCCTATAAAGATGCCACTGTAATTATGACACATGTGTGTTACCCTAAACCTCGATTTCCTCATGCTCTCCACCTGATCTCTGCCCTTCAGAGCAGTTCAGGGGTTATCGAGCAGCCGTGACGAAGGCTTTAGCGTGTTTGCGTGTTGGATCGCGTCAGCTGGATGGCACGGCTGACCGTGCAGGGCATCTCCACAGCCCTCGAACCCTCCTGTGCCAGGTGCAGCTCCAGTACCTCGGGTTCGAGCGACCCGTTCGGTGCGTCCTCCTCATCGGCGGTGACGGCATGCTTCTCTGACGGCTTGGCGGGACCCAGGCCCTCTTGGGTCTGACGGGGTCCTCGGCACTGCCATGCGAGGAGCCGTGAGGGCCGGGGCAGTGCAGGACGTAGGGACGCGTTCACCTTGAGGTGTGGCCGTGTTGGGTTTCAGCGCGGGCACGGGCCAGGAGTGGCCTGCTCTCTGCTGCTTACAGAAAATGAATTTTTCATTTCGGAGTATCAGGTACAGCACTTCTTTTTACAGGTGAGCACTGTTATTGGACCTTAGAGGATGAGTTGAAGGTTATCTGACCTTGTCTTTTGGTCCGGGATGAATGCCATGCTCGGACTCGCATGTCCGGCACGAGCCGCGTGAAGGCCACATGCTCACTGCAGTACTTTGTGGTCGACGTTCTGCTCCGCACTCAGTGGGGAATGAAGTTACAAACACATTGATTTGGGGTTTGCTGCATGATGAGTGTTTAGGATGTACTGCGTGTTCGGTTAGCTGATATGATGATGATGATGATGATGATGGTGATGGTGATGGTGATGATGATGAGGCAGTGCTGGACCCGATCATTGCAGCTGGGCTCTCTGTCCCAAGCCTCCCAGTCAGAATCCAGCCCCTGAATGGGGCAGATTCTGAGTCCTGATTGGCAGCTCTGTTGCCAGGGAGTTCTGCCGCCGGATTGTTTTCATGATATTTATTTATTTTGTATTTTTTGTTGTGGCATTTGAATCCAGCACAGGCGGTAGCCGCAGCTTAGCGGTCCGCTTGTTTTACTTAAATACGTCGAGCAGACAGAGCAGCGCCCTCGTCCCTGACGGTCAGCATCCCGCCCTGCACCTCCACCCGTTTCCGGCACTCTGATATCTCGGAGCTGGCAGCTTCGGTCCAGTGGACCCTCGTGACCCGCCCTCCCCCTCCCCGCCCCCCCCCTGTGCCCCCCCCCCCTCCATATCGCTCGTGTCAGTTATTGCAATGATTCAGTGATCTGAACAAGAACGAGTAAAGGGCACTGGGCCCCCGCGAATCAGAGTCGGGGAGGCAGCCAGTCTCTTATTTTGTTATCAGAGATGTACAAAGTCTATATTTAGCGTGGTGTCCTGTCTGCCTGACTCGACATATTCCGCACTGCCCAGCTGGCACGTACGTTCATGTCTGTAGACTCTGTACCCAGCATGCCTGGCTGTGGCAGTACTGCATTGCAGCTCTGTGCATTAATTGGCAGCCAGACAGCAGCCTCGGGAAAGTGGTATGGGGGGGGGGGGGGGGGGGGGGGCGGGGGGGGGGGGGGGGCTTCTCGGAGAGCACGGGCTCCTGAGGGCACTTGGGTCGTTCTGGTCCTCAGGAGGAGTTTGATCATGCTGGTGCACAGAGCAGATTCGACTGTGTCTGATCTGATCTAGCTGAGGAATCTGCATGGAGGCACCTTTGGCTAATTTGATTAGTCTTTTTTTATCACTTTCTCTTATGCCTGTTTGACCGGTGATGAATTTGAAACAGAAAAAGCTTTTTTTTTTTTTTACATTTTGTTATTTTAAAAGTCTTACATGGCTGTGCAGACGTAGGTTTTCAATCTCCTGAGTATTTTTTTTTGTAGCAAGCCTTAAATATTCAACTGTGTGTTTTTCCCCTTGGCATCTGCAGGATCTGCGATGGTAGAAAGATCTCTCCCCTCACACCTTTACGCGTTTGAAGATTCTCTCTCTCCCTCCGGTCTTCACGCGTGTCGCTGCATCAACACATTTGCTCAGAAACCCACTGTAATTATGACACGTTCTCAAATGTCACCGCACGCAACCAACGCTCCTATTTATTACTGCAAAGCGCCATGTATAAGTTTTGCCAAAGCGTTACTTTGCAAATAAAAAAGTTTTGTCATGGAGACAGTCAGACATCCGTCAAATGTCCTACACGTCTTCTCCTTTCCTGGTCTCTTCCTGCAACTTCTCCTCATCCCCTCCTTCTCCCCACCATGAGCTACTCATTACATCCCGTTAAATCCACCTCTGAATCGGCCGAGAGAGTGACTGCGACCGAGGACACGTCGCTGCGAGTCCGGCTTCCGTGTCGCGGATTTGGGCGTCGGGCAGAGCCCCTCTTTGGAGAAATGCATGCCGAGCGCTGAGAAGCGATGCAGAGCCGGACGAACCCTGTGCATGTGTATGTGGAGAAGCAGCACAGGCTGACCTACATAGAGCAGGCAGCCATCAGCACTTAATGCACTACATATGCATAGCCTCAGAAAAGCAATTATTATACATTATGTTGATGATGTTTATTTGCGAGGACGGCCATCTTGAGTCGTCTCCTTTCTTCTTCATGTGAAAGGTGTCCTAAGGCATGACCTCTCCTCTTCCTCCTGCTCCTCCTCTTCCTCCTGCTCCTCCCACTGTTCTGACTTTCCAATATGTCCTTAAACCGCTGTTTCTGTCCTTAAATGACTTTTTTTTTTCCCTCTCCTCTGTCTCGAGCCCCCCCCCCCCTCCCTCCCTCTCTCTGCGACATATAGATGCTGCATTGATCACATGCAGCCCCCCCTCCCCCCCGTGCCTTTCATCATTGATATGCTCCCTCCAGCTGCAGCACTTGTTGCTTGTCGATTTCAGCCTGGAGGGGGTGGGTGGCGGATTCGGGATGCCCGCCGTTCTCTGCCCCTCCTCCCGCTCTTCCCGTACTGCCACTTTACCGGGAATAGTGGGTGGCAGGTTGGGGCATTTGGGGTGGGGGGGGTGGCATCAAGGTGGGCGGAGCCAGAGAGCCCTGACCAAACGTACTACGCCGTCGCTCAACACCGAAACTCGCATGGGTTAGAAGCAAAGGTCTGATTAATGAGGCTGCGAGAATCTGCAGACCTATCTAACCAGGCTGCTGGCTGGCATGGGCCACACGCTTTGTCCGTAACGTTGCCGTGGCCGGTGACAGCGTCCTCTTCGCATTTTCTGCACCCTGGCCTCACCTGCCCTCCTCCCCTCTCTCCTGCAGACGCCCCCTAAGCTGGCCCTGTCCCCAGTGAAGCCCCAACGCTATCACCATGTCCCAGCTGCTGCACCTGGAGATCCCCAACTTCGGCAGCACGGTGCTGGGCTGCCTGAACGAGCAGCGGCTGCAGGGCCAGCACTGCGACGTGTCCATCGTGGTGAACGGCCAGGCCTTCAAGGCGCACCGCGCGGTGCTGGCCGCCAGCAGCCTCTACTTCCGCGACCTGTTCAGCGGCAGCTCCAAGGCGCAGTTCGAGCTGCCGTCGTCGGTGGCGCCCGCCTGCTTCCAGCAGCTGCTCTCCTTCTGCTACACGGGCAAGCTGACCATGGCGGCCAGCGAGCAGCTGGTGATCATGTACACGGCGGGCTACCTGCAGATCCAGCACATCGTAGAACGGGGCATGGACCTCATGTTCAAGGCCAACTCGCCGCACTGCGACTCGCAGACCGCCGCCATGGAGGACACGGGATCCGAGCCCCAGAGCCCCAGCAACAACCCGGCAGCGGCACTGGGCCCGCCCTGCTGGTCCATGTCCGTGTCCGGCGCCAGGGGCAGGATTAAGCAGGAAGGGTGCGAACCCCCGCTTTCTGTACCCGGCGTGGGGCAGAAGCGGGCAGCGGGGGAGGCGGCCACAGCGGGGGTTCGGCTGGGGCGGGGCAGCTCGCTCTTCTTCACTGGGGCTGGCGGCAGTGTCATCTTCCCAGGCATGCAGTCCTACCAGCTCACCACTGGGGAGCGCTCCAGTCCCGGAGCGTCCAGTCTGCCCACCACTGACAGCCCCACCTCCTACCAGAACGAGGATGAGGAGTTTGAGGAAGAGTCATACGACAGCATCGCGGAGGATGTTTATGGGCAGGGTTACGTTCGCTCTGGTAATCCCTACATCAGTAAGTATGGACCTCTTTTATTACGGCAAGAAGTGCAACTTATACGGAGCGAGACTGGCCATCTGACATACTGGGCAATTTGTCAGGGGGCTATGGGTATGTGGCTCACCAAAATTTACCCTCAACCCCGCTTGACAAAATGTATCTCAAATGTAATCACCCCCCCCCCCCCCCCCACACACACAAAATTTAAGGTGGGGTCATGGGGACCCCAACGTCCAGGTTCGATTTTCAGTGCAGCCCTGACCTTATCTGCATTTTCAGAAAACTGCAGTTTTATTAATGCTATCAGTGGAATTTGGGTCCTTTTTTGATTAGGATATAAAAAAATAACTAGCATGTGACAAAGTTTTATTTTTTTATTAAATGACTTCGATAGGCTTGTAATAATGAACTAGGAGCAGGCCTGATATTTATCATAAACCCAGTGATAAACTGATGATATGAATATTTTTTAATGAGCTTTTTTTTTTTGAAGTTCTCACATCCTGGACATCATTTTGGTGCTTTCATTATATCTAATGCCCTAAATCTTTAAATATTTTATACGCAGTTCTAATATACTATATAGTGAATGAGGCGGCGGTTTTTATATGGAGGTAAATTAAAAATGATTTTTTTCCAGTCACTCAGCAGAAAGTGAAGGTATATTACGAGTCGCTGGGGCAGATTGATATTCGCAATTTATTGTCGTAGCGAACATGGTCCGATTCAGACTTCTGAGCGAAGCCTCTGGAACTGGGGGTGCTTATAACTCAGACGCTATAGTGTCAGTGTCGTGTTTTACTGCTGTCTGCGGAAGCGGCCGGCCAGGTGGACGTCGCCATGCAGTGTGAAAGCGGGTCTAAGTACCTGGAAAAGTGCAGTGTGCTAGAAGCGGCCGGCCAGGTGGACGTCGCCATGCAGTGTGAAAGCTGGTCTAAGTACTTGGAAAAGTGCAGTGTGCTAGAACCGGCCGGCCAGGTGGACGTCGCCATGCAGTGTGAAAGCTGGTCTAAGTACCTGGAAAAGTGCAGTGTGATAGAAGCGGCCGGCCAGGTGGACGTCTCCATGCAGTGTGAAAGCGGGTCTAAGTACCTGGAAAAGTGCAGTGTGCTAGAACCGGCCGGCCAGGTGGACGTCGCCATGCAGTGTGAAAGCGGGTCTAAGTACCTGGAAAAATGCAGTGTGCTAGAAGCGGCCGGCCAGGTGGACGTCGCCATGCAGTGTGAAAGCGGGTCTAAGTACCTGGAAAAGTGCAGTGTGCTCGATACATTTTTAAACATTGCATTATGTTTTTTAACACAGAACCAGTTCATGAAAATAATGAGAAATATAAATAGGAATATAAAATATTGGGGGGGGGACTTGCAGTCAGAGCTGTATTTTTCCAGCTGACAGACCCTAAGGCTTTATCTTATATTGTTGGCATTCATCACATTTCAACGATGCTGATGTTTGTGACAATGACAGCTACGCATTGGCTCGGAAAGGGTACTGCGATGACTGGTATAGGCATGAGAGACAACAGAAAATGACTGTCCTTTCTGTCCGTGGCCGAATCTCTGTGGTTGTTTCCTTAATTGATATCGCAGAAGCCTAGAGACATGGACAGTCTGATTATCAGCTTGGTCAAACCCACAAGTCTGAGTACCTGATACTGAAAGAGAGATGCCAGGGTCTGTGGCCAAGGAACATAAGCCAGTTTACTTTGTCCTCTTCTCATTTATGTGCCCCTGAGTCTTTAGACATTAGTGAAGTACTTTCTGTTTGTTATAAAACAACAGTTGAAAGGATGACGCATTTGAGTAGAAATGAAAAGTGGGAGATCTGTCACATTGTTATGATCCATACATTAAATGACATTATTAACATATTTCCTGTTTGTTATAAAATACGATTTGAAAATGATACATTTGAAAAGGAACAAAGAACAGGAGAACAATGACATTATGATTTTGGTTATTGATATTTTCCTGGTGCCATTTAAAAAATTGCACATTTTTAGCTGTTACATGCTAGCTTTTTTCTTTATTTTTTTCTTAGCTCACTATGAATTTTATACAATTGTAACACTTGTTTTATTCACTTGGGCAGGATGCTTTTTTTATTGTAGTGCTTGTTTTGTAGGGCTTTGCCAAAAAAATAAAAAAGGTCTGACAGAGTCCTCCTCCATCTTGCGCCCTCCGCAGTCACGGACAAGCAGGACGCGGCGGCCATGCCCCTGCCGCCCGAGGGCCGCTCCTGCGTGCTGATCCGCCGTGACCTGGTGGCACTGCCCGCCAGCCTCATCAGCCAGATCGGCTACCGCTGCCACCCAAAGCTGTATTCGGAGGGCGATCCCGGGGAGAAGCTGGAGCTGGTGGGAGGTATGCTGCAGGCCCTGGGGAGGCGCGGAGGGGAGCGGAGCGGGACAGTGACAAACAGCGGCCTGCCGGGGAGGTGCAGGCAGCGCGTTTTACTGCAGTGCGAAGCCGGGGCTACCGGCAGTGGGGGGGGAGGTGTTAATTAGCAGAGTGGAGGTGAAAGCAAACAGAACATTTCGTACGCCTGAATACCCCCCACCCCCAGGAAAAGTTCTGAGCATAATGACAATGATGGGCCCGGATATCCGGCTCTTTTTCAGGCCCCCTCCCAGCTCCGTTTGCACAGATCTCCCCCCTGCAAATAGGAGCTGCGTTTGAGTCGGCAGCTTACTCCAGTCACATAGACGCAGACGGTTAGGAGCTGCATTATTAGTAAGGCGATCGGACTGGGTAGGTGTAGCTGGTGTGCAGGCTGGGCCGGGCTGCTCAGAGCCCCCGCTGACACCCTGCGTCTGCTGCCCCCCCCCATCCCAGGCACCGGCGTGTTCATGACTCGGGGGCAACTGATGAACTGCCACCTCTGCGCAGGGATCAAGCACAAGGTGCTACTGCGTCGTCTTCTGGCCACATTCTTTGACAGGTCGGTGCCATCAGGGGTGGGGGGGTATGGATGGGGGGGCACCTTTACTAGCTGCAGGCACCATTACTGCCCCAAATTATTTCCAAATGACTGATACAGGGATTTTACATATAGTTCAATTGTGTCACCAGTTCATTGCCAAAAGTATTGGGACACCCCTCTCCAAATCATTGAATTCAGGTGTTCCAGTCACTTCCATAGCTACAGCTGTATAAAATCAAGCACCTAGGCACGCAGACTGCTTCTACAAACATTTGCTAAAGAATGGGTCGCTCTCAGGAGCTCATTCAAGCGTGGTTCTGTGATAGGATGCCACCTGTGCAATAAGGCCATTCGTGAAATATTCTCGCTACTAAATATTCCACGGTCAACTGTTAGTGGTATTATAACAGAGTGGAAGCAAATGGGAACAACAGCAACTCAGCCACGAAGTGGGAGGCCACGTAAAATCACAGAGCGGGGACAACGCATGCTGAGGCGCACAGTGTGCAGAAGTCGCCAACTGTCTGCAGAGTCAATAGCTACAGACCTCCAAACTTTGTGTGGCCTTCAGATTAGCTCAAGAACAGTGTGTAGAGAACTTCATGGAATGGGTTTCCATGGCCGAGCAGCTGCATCCAAGCCCTACATCACCAAGTGCAATGCAAAGCGTCGGATGCAGTTGTGTAAAGCACACTGCCACTGGACTTCAGAGCAGTGGAGTTGTGTTCTCTGCAGTGACGAATCATGCTTCTCTGTCTGGCAATTGGATGGCCGAGTCTGGGTTTGGCGGTTGCCAGGAGAACGGTACATGCTTGACTGCATTGTGCCAAGTGTAAAGTTTGGTGGAGGGGGATTATGGTGTGGGGCTGTTTTTCAGGGGTTGGGCTTGGCCCCTTCGTTCCAGTGAAAGGAACTCTTAATGCTGCAGCATTCAAAGCCAGGAGGAACTTGACTGGCCTGCACAGAACCTTGACCTCAACTCGATAGAACACCTTTAGAGCGGAGACTGCGAGCCAGGCCTTCTCATCCAACATCAGTGCCTGACCTCACAAATGTTCTCCTGGAAGAATGGTCAACATTCCTATAAACACTCCTAAACCTTGTGGACAGCCTCCCCAGAAGAGCTGAAGCTGTTATAGCCGCAAAGGGTGGGCCAACTCCATATTAAAGCCTATGTATTAAGAACGGATGTCATTAAAGTTCATGTGTGTATAAAGGCAGGTGTCCCAATACTTTTGGCAATATAGTGTATCATGTGGTCAACAGAGTAATATCATCAATGGGCTCTTGCACTACGCCCTTAACCCACAATTGCAGCAGGCACTGGCTGACCCAGATCTCTCAATCATATGTTGTAATGACATTATGATTGTATGTGATGTAATGTACCGCTGCACATGAGATGCATTGAACATCGATAATTGGTATTCCTCTTAAGCACAGGTTTGTAGTTCAGGATTTAAACTCCAGGGGGTGCTGTCTCCAGTTTCCCCTGTTGTTTGTAGTGTATAAAGAAAACTATTGGCTGGAATCTGTACTAGAGCAGAACAGTCTGTGCCATTGAGGTAACCAGTTTGGGTTGGTTTTAAGAAGCAGAAGAGGGGGTACAAAAGAGGACCTGCAAACAGGGGGATGTTTGGCATAAACAATTTTTACCAGATAAAATAGTGAGAAATATCTTCTCCTGATGTTTGTTAGTTAATTACTTGTATTTTTAAACTGTGACAGTATATTATTAAGCAAAATGCAATATTTAAGAAGGGGAGTTTTGCCCAGAAATGATGTTTCTTTGTTTCCTAATTGTATTTTGTCCATTTTGAACCAAGGATTTTTAAACGTTTTTTTGTTATATTGCTTTAAGTACACTACAGTAATGGTGGTATCGTCACGGCAATGTCTCCCCCACCAGAAACACACTGGCTAACAGCTGTGGGACAGGGATCCGTTCGTCCACCAGTGACCCCAGCCGTAAGCCGCTGGACAGCCGTGTGCTGAACGCCGTCAAACGTGAGTCTCTCCTGTGTTCACGCTCCACCACCATTCATCGTTCTGATGCTGAAATGCACTCTGAAATATGCTGCCCCTCCCCCCGCAGTTTACTGTCAGAACTTTGCTCCGAACTTCAAGGAGAGCGAGATGAACGTCATCGCGGCGGACATGTGCACCAACGCGAGGCGGGTACGGAAACGCTGGCTGCCCAAGATCAAGTCTATGCTGCCTGATGGCATGGAGGTGTACCGGGGTGGGCCTGCCGTGGGGGGTGGCCATGGCATGGCGGGGGCAGGTCTCTCCTTACCCTTCGAGGCTGACTTCAAGCCGCTTACTCCAGCCAATCTGAGCTTCGAGCAGCGGCCCTACACCGAGCGCAAAGAGACACCGCGGACTCCCCTGCAACTGGGCGGGGCCAGCCCGGGGCCGAGCATGGAGGAGGCGGAGCCTGAGCTGGAAGGGCCCCCGGCAGAGGAGGAGCCAGAGGAAGAGGAAGCAGCGCTACACAGCTTGGAGGGGACCGTCCCCCTTACTCCGGGGGATGACCCAGAAGGGGACGGATGCCAGTCCCCCACAGCTGAGGAGCAGCAGAAGGAGGAGACAGGGGAGGACCTGCGAATAAACGGCCAGTGAGACCAGCATCTGATCACCTGCCTCTCAGAAGGAGACTCTGCACCACACTGAAACACGCTGCATTAAATGCCGGTGTGTTCTTTGCATGCACATCTGTTACGCACCTGTAGGGGGAGCAGGAGAGGCCACTGAGACCTAGAATATAAATGCACGTCAACATGTACATACATACACCCACACTCACGCAGTCCTGAACTTCTCGGAGGTGACTGAGTATCGAATGCAAGCTTCTCTGTGAAAATGGTGACCAATTTAGTTTCCTGTGTTTAACCCAGTTAGTAGTTACCTAAACAGAGATTAACTGCTCATTATCTCCAGAATCACGTTCAGCATAGACCTGTATTTAAAAAAAGTGTTATTTCCTTATGTTTAAGTACACTTAATAAACAAAGATTCACATGAATGTATCCATTCATGATCTGTTAGTCCCAGCTTTTCTGAAAAGTACGATGAGAAATTGACAGTCAGTAACAAAAAGGGTGATTTTTCTTCCCCTTATTTTTAAAATCAAACTTTCTACATGTATAGAAAATTTGAATTCATTGGGAAAGGGATAAAATGACATGGTGAAGTGTTAATTTTTAAGAGAGACAAGATGTGTCTCCATGGAAAATGGGACTTTTGTTCAGCATTGTAGAGTCCAATAACGGCCAGTCATGGAAATTTGCATTAGGAAATGTGTCTAATGTCTATATGAAGCATGACTGGCCTGTAAAGCGTGTTTGTACACCCTGTCCTGTACAGAAGAGTGGGAAGTGAAATGATTTCCTGGCTTCAGATTAAGAACCTTCTGGACTTATAGCAAAAGGGCTTCTTCCCTCTCTGTCCTGTTTCAAGTCCCCCGACACGCCTGAACACTTCACAAGTGGTCGTGTCCGGCCAGGCGTCTGGAGGTCGAAAAGGATCAAGATCCACAAGCTATGGGGGGGGATATGTATCACTTGTGCCCCCTGCTGGGGGACATCCTCCCCAGCCTTCTGCCTGCCACGGCTGGCAGTGCAGGACAGAAGGGGGGTAAACGCACCAAATACACCTGCATGCAGCCCAATAAGACGAGCAAAGCCAGGCTCCGACATGAATACAAAACACAAAAAAAAAAACATGCTTCAGTTGCTTGGAGATAAATAGTCGCTCTTGTAAACAAATGCCATTTTCTGTTAGGATGCTGGGTGGGTTACGGGTGCTGGCCTGTAGAGCACAAGGAGCCTGCCGTCAGCTCAGCTTTCCGGTGACTTGGACAGATCAGCTCACAGTAAGGAGCCCACCTTGTGTTCATCCCTTCCGCCGTGGTTTTATTCGTGAACTGACCTGAATAGGCTTAGAAACGTGAAAATCCTGCTGGTTTCCTGCTCTTGCACTATGAGAGGATGAGAAGACTGGAGATGCTTTGGTCACCTTAAAAAAAAAAAGTACGTAACACATCGATTTGACCTTTCCTGACATTTCACCTGCTTTTTCGTTTTTGCTGCTGTTTTTTCTCGCCCTCTAGCTTGCTTCTTCACTCGCCCGCGCAGGTCATGGGTTCGGGCTTAGCTGGTGTGATTGGACAGCTTTCTTTCCCCCTCTGTTTTTTGAGAGGTTGTTTTGGTTGGATTTTTGAATCTGATATCGAATTGTTGCAGCAGTCACTTGGGTGACGCTCGTGATGTATTACATCAGCACTTTGTTTTGCACTCGGCCTCCTGTCATTTGGTATAATGGCACGTCGACCCTCCATAATACCAGGACCGCCGTTCCGCTTCTACCCCTCCGTCCGTCTTCTCGCCCACATTCCTCGCCGACGTTTCTCCGAGTGCTACTCAGAGATCACCCGACATTGCAAAGCCATCGTCTCGCATATTTTTATGAACACGCCCCTTGTCCATTTGCCTTTGTTTACCACTGGCAAGTCGTTTTGGGGGGGGGTGTTTCAAATTAACATTCATGGTATTTCATCACAAAGAGGGGGATAACATTCCCAGACGTCCCTTCACTTCAAGGTTTAAGATAAACACCATTGTTTGAGGAGTGCACAAAAAATGTAACTCGTACAAAGTAAGTTTTCTATTCTAAGAATGTTTTTAAAGATTCACGATGTTCAATCATATGCACTTATGTTCGTATATTTTGAATATGCGTGCCATAGGTAGAATATGCAATTAGCTGTGTTTCACAGATGTGTTAAGTGTTTGGTTTTGCCGAAATAGGCAAAAGTGGGATGGGGGGGGGGTGGGGGGTCTGGTTCCTGTGGAATGGAAAGCAGGGTTTTGATTGCACTATGGAGCTGAGGGGACAAAGTTTACAAGAGTTGCTGTGAACGATACAGTCTGATTTGAATGTGAGTATGGGTGTGTTCGGGTGGGGGGAGGGGGAGGGGGATGGGTGGGATCTGAGGACAGGATGCTCATCTGCTTCTGATGTGCAATTATGAGTGAAGATCATACGGTGAACACTGGGTAATGCTTAGTTAATGACTAGTTAATGATTGGTTTAGGAGAGCAGCGGCGTCAGCATGAGGCTGGGCTGCATTGGGGTCGTACGAGTCCCAGGAAGGACTTTGAAGACGTCTTCCAAAGCCATAGGACACTGGCACCCAAACTAGTGCCTGTTTTCTCGATGGGCATTTCATAGACGACTCCATCTGATTGGTTCATTTTCATGCCTTTCAAACAAGTAGCAAAATTTCTCTCATGCCTCAAGCGGAGCCTTGAAGTGAATCGCAGAGTCAGCGGCTGCCTCCTTAGCGGAGTCCTGCGTGATTGTTCGCGGCTGTGAGCTGACCCAGTTTCCTCTGGACGTGAAGGGCCCCTTTCGGTTACATTGATGGCCAGAGGAGTGAATTAGTGACATTGTAAACTGTTACAGCCTTCATCCTAGGTTATCGCTTTTTATTCTTAGCCTTCATCATTGTTACCTGACCCCTGTGTTAATGAAGGAACTGTAATTCTGCAAAGAACTACTGTAATAACGACGTATTTGGCCAGTGGTCAGCAGGGTCTGTAAATTAATTACTCCAGCTGGTAGAAACCTTGCTTAGGGATCCTGTTATTTTGGTAATTTATTTTTGTGACTATGAATGAATCAAATACATGGATTATAATATGAAGTCTGTGTGCAGCTAACCCTTTTATATGGAAGGAGAAACAGCGAGCACTAATTATAAGCATATGGATGGTTATATCATATTTATTGTAATAACTTTTTCAAGTAACTTGAATCATATTATATAGAGTTGTTTAAATGTGGATGGTTTGGAAGAGATGTGCTTCAGTTCTGAGTTACAGGGTCAAACGCGAGGCATGATGACCGTTACAATAACCATATCAAAGTTGAACTGGCCTTTTGATATCACTTAAGACATTTTCAACCCAATCGCGTTGTTTCCTTATATGGGGAAATAGTCATTACGAGTGTTTATTTTTCGTAGTTGCCTATAGTAGTGTATTAACACGGCAAATTCTCCTGTTTGTTGCTTCTCCTGTAATGGAGGGGGCTGGTAGGAGCTACGTGTGGGCGGGAGTAGAGTGCCTTAAATATCTTATTATGAAAGTGTTTGAGAAGCCTGCGTTTCGCACAGTATATCCGTCTGCTTTGTGCTTTGCTTTTTAACTGTGCCTCTGGTTTGCAGATGCTTAGCGCAGACCCGAAAAAGAGACCCAAAAACAAAACACACAGCTAGATAAATAAGCAGAAGATTGCAAAGTTTTTTTGTTTTTTTTTTAATGATGTTACTTTAAAATGTACTGTGCATATGTTCCCGACTATAGCCATGTTTGTTTCACAGAAATCATTTGCAGTGGTGGCTTGACATGGTTGTGCAATTTTCCATGCTTTCCTGGGAAAGCTGGTGTAGCAGAGGATACCAGAGAGAGAGTGAGAAGAGAGACGTTCTGCTTTGGGAATGGGGGGTGGGGGGGCTGACACTTCTGCACACCGTGATGAAAAGTAACTAAGGATGAACCAAAAACGATTAACGTGACTGTAACCGTGGGATCGTTATTTGTTGCATGAGCATTTTTGTACACGTTTACTGCTTCAGAAAAACACACCGTACCAGGAAGCTTGGTATCGTGCTGTAGACTGTGGGGATCCGACTAGCAGCTTTTAGGAAAAGCTGATTTTATACTATGAGGGAATCTGATTCAGCTTCAATGTGCACTTTTTTTATTTGAGAACTTTCTTCGAAAAAGAAATTACATGCAATGCAAATTTATGGCCAATTGCTAAATATATGCTTATGCAATGTAATGTACAATCTATGGTTTATATCCAGACTTGGGGTTCTGAACGGAAATGCAACCAGTTTTGTCGAAAACATCAATTACCTGACTTGTTTAAATTGTAAGTACGTTGTAAATTGAGTATTTGCAAAATGTTACATTTATACAGTTTCACCCGAATTAAAATTGCTTGTACATACTATGCTGTCCCCTAGATGTTCAGCCTTATCTCCATATATGAAAAGAATGTCCCCATAAAGCGGTCTGATTTGAGAGCTACAGTAAATATTGTATATTCTGAATTGAGTCTAATATGAAAGATGAAGTCCAACATATTTTTATATAGTAGCATTTAAACTGAAATGCATTTGACCCCAAGTCTGCTTGAATGACTGTTTCTTTCTCCCCAGCTGTGTTTTATAAATGGTATACTATCAGTCATTTTGCCTGGCTCTCTGCATTTAACTTCACCATTTGCAGCCATTGCACGTGTCTGTAATATTTTTTAGAGGTACAGAAGTAAAACTGAGACAGAAACTCTAGGAATGTTTAAGCTGACCCAATATGTCATTTGTTTTAAGGCTAATTTGTAGCTTTATAAAATAAAATTGACAATGATCTTGAATGCTTTTATAGACCTGTTTTTATTTTGGCCACCACCTAGTGGGGGTTCATAGGTAGTAAAATATTCTGCTACAGTTGCAGCAGAAGGCAATAGTATTATAGAGTTAGTTGCCTTGCCAAACCCTATGTCACTGATACCATATTGACCCACAGACCTGTTGACTGTGTTTCTTAATCCGATGCCAAGTTTGTGGATTCATTTTCCGAAACCCTTTATCCCTGTGACTCACACTTTTTCGTATGTTGAACTCTGGAGGGAAATTTGTGACGGAGTGAGGCATGTGCACATGAATGTCGCCTGTTAAGCTGCAGCCGAAGACCTAGACCTCGATTCCGCTGGACACTGGGAAGACCTAGACCTTGGTCCCGCTGGACACTGGGGAGACCTAGACCTCGGTCCCACTGGACACTGGGAAGACCTAGACCTCGGTCCCGCTGGACACTGGGAAGATCTAGACCTCGGTCCCGCTGGACACTGGGAAGACCTGCTGCCTTGGCGTTGGATTCGTAAAAAAGACGAGCGTGACATTTGGGACAGGGCTGCTCTGCAGGGAAACGCTGTGTGAGTCTGTTTTGGGACAGGTCTGCTCTGCAGGGAAACGCTGTGTGAGTCTGTTTCCTTCAGCACTGGGCTCTCAGCCCTTTTTTTGTTCAGTCCCATGTTATTTTGCATGCCAGCTGCATTTGCACTAAGACAGGTCAGTGTCACTCGAAGCTGTCACATATCTGGAGACCACCTTGTGTCCGGTTACGGTTCTTTTTATCCTTGGGAATGATGCAGTGACGTAAACATCAGCACCCAAAAGGGAGGGAGGCAGAGCTTTGACAGTTGGGAGAGGGAGACAGGAAGCCTTCGCCATCGCGGACCCCCTCAGCACGTCTGAAGGACACACCGTCCCTTTCCCCATACTAGCTATCATGCGGCTTGTGACAGCGTGAAGATCCAAGCGCTCACAAAGGGTCTGGAAACCCGACTCCTTTTTTAAAGAAGCCTGCATCTTGAAGTCGCTTCTTGGAGTGTAGTTCACAAAGCAAAGCCAATAGCAGTGTGGTCACTGTCAGCGGCTGTCACTGAAATGCAGTGGGAGGCCAGGACATCTGGTCCCCTTCAGAGCACTGCAGAGTAATGAATGCATACAATACTGGACTCCACTATTTTCAGCCCAATAACTCACTCATATTCATGCGATATGAAATGACAGTCTGAGTACCTAGAAATCAGAAGTTAAAAGCTTTACAAAACACTAATCTGCTTTTAACAAAAAAAATTTGAAAACAAAAAAATAAATCAAATCCTTTGCAGATGTTTTAAGTCTCACCTGAACTTCTTATGTCCATCGACGTTCATTCATTGTGGTGCAGTTTAAGCGTAACAGCATTTTATTATAAAACAAAATACAAACAGCTGTATGCTTTATAATAAAACCCCTATAGTGACCTATGAAATCCATGTTGTTTTATTTCTGATGATTTTTGTATGTGTTTAATGTGAAGCTCCAAAGTGAATTATTTGGAATTGTGTGTATATATTTTTTGAGTAATGTTTTTGTCTTCTGCATTCAGGGCTGTTTGTACTCTCTGTAGCACGACCAATTCATAGAATTATGTTGTGTTTTTGATATTCAAGACTTCATAATCATATCAAATTTATTACATGTTACTGCTAATTTTGAACACAGGGGTGGTCAGGATGATTACAGTTCCGTTGTTTCAAAGTCCACATATTGATTGTAGAGAAGGTTCATTCCTGCAATGCAAGGAGACTTTGAGGATCTGAGATCTTCTGTTCCTCCTCAGGTTAAATTTAACTCACTTTCTGTACACTCCATTGAAAGTTTTCTCTCTGTTGCTGCTGTCCTGAAACAGTGAAAAAGGAATGCTAATTTAAGTTTAACTGTCCTAGAATCAATAGGCTTGCATAAGAAAATTTAATCTTTAGCTTATTATGGTTGACAGTAAAACATAAATAACCAGAACTGTAGTGTAAAACCAGTGAACAGTAAACATTTGAGACTGATAAATTGTCCTGCTCCAGAGCATTACCTCGTCCACTTAAAGGAGGAATTCGATTTAGTCTTTGCAGAATGTGGTTTTTGACAGGTTTTTCCATTATTTTCCTGCTCCACGATCTTTTCCAGGAAGGAGTGTCCGTTCTGGGTCGGGGGCCGTACTGGGATGTCCCTGACTGCTCGGAACAGGCTGCAGTTAGTCAGATGCTCCTTCTCTAATCTGAGGAAGTTCCAGATGAACCGGCTGAAAGAGCAGAGAAGCCAAAGCAAACCCGTCGGTTTTGTCCGTACTCCGTGAAGAGAGTGCCTTGTGAAGCCTAAACAGCCGGCATCGCTCTCCTCACCGAATAACCTCCAGTGGAGCCAGGATCCCTGTGGCGGTAGCTGAGCCTGCATCCCGCATCTGCACCAGGATGATGTTGACCCCCCAGGCCAGCCTCAGCAACACGTCCGCCAGTATTGCACAGTAGTAGTAGGCCTGTAACCGCAAGCACCCGGGTGGGCTATAAACGTGGCATGCAGTGTGTAGCGGGCGGATGTCACTCCTATATGAAGCTATCTTTCAGTTGCCATTCATGCTGCACGAGCCATAATAACTGAAAGCAGATCATAAAAAATGCAACAAAGATGATTATACATTAGGGTTTAAATCTGGAATGTTTTAACAGAGGCTGTCTCTATGCCAGTCTCTCATACCATATTGGCCAATTGACCTGTACACTGTCTCAGTGAAAGATCAAGTTTACAGAGCAAATACTGATTCTATGCTAATTTCGATTCATAAAAGACATTTGACGCTTAAATGCAATTCCAGAAATACGTTTGACTTTCCATTGGGATTGCAGTAATACACACACGCTGCAGAGTTACGGTAGGGTTAGCAAAAAATATTACAGAATCTTGGCTACCCGTTTAGAATAGACAGCCTCCTCTCTCAGATAGTCGGGGCCTTGGAGAAGCCCCCAGTCTATGCGTAAATCCCAGGTTATGGCCACCAGCACACTGCAGCAGGCAGAGGCAGCCCAGAGGTAGAGGTAGAGCGTCAGTCCCTCTGCCTGACTGGGGTACTCTGCCAGATGCAAACAGGTGCAGAGACAGAGACCATGAAGAGCAGCTCTCAGGTGTGAACACTGCACCTCAACTTTCAAGCACTTCAGATCACTCCATATATCCTTATAATAAAATGTGTATGCACATTTTAAAAGCTGTTTTTTTTCCTTTTAATTCTTTTTAGTACTTGTCTGTTCTATTGCTCTTCATTTGTATACACTTCAACTTTAAATCATTGCACTTTGTACTGCTGTATCAGTTATTACAGTTATATTCTGCATTTTAATCTTTACGATATTGTAGTCAACAGTAAGACTGCAGCCCCTCCTTTCTAGAGTTACGCCCTCTTGTGGTTCATCTCCTCTCCCGCTCCCCGAGCTGCGTGATTTCAGGCCGGGGAAGTCACCTAACGCCATGCTGTAGAGGCCGGCGAAGGTGATCGTGAGGAAGACCACGGAGTATTTGCCGGCATTCAGGAGGTGGGGCTTGGTGTTCCCGCTGTCCCAGAAGTTCCTTAGACACTGTGCAAAGCGAAGCCAGGGCGGGAAGCACTGTATCAGGCAGCTGAGGTCCTTGGAGGTCCTCTCGCAGTCCAGGCTTCCTGGAGCACTCACAGAGAGGCAGAGGAGGTGAGCAGGATGGCCCGCCAATCAGCGATGCTGCCCCATCTGCCTTCCTACCTCAGCCCCGACGAGCCGCTCCGAGGTGCCTCTCACCTACAGGCGGAGCGTACATGCCGGCCAGGTCCTTCCAATCCACCTCACATGCGTAGAACCAGATGAGGCTCCACAGATCCAGGAAAAGCGGTGCGAGGCTGTTCAGTTGGTCGGCAAGCCAGAAGTCAGGAAACCCTACTGAGTGGAACGGAGTGGTGAGGACCTTGTACTGTGGAGGGACAGAATGGACACTGAGATCAAGGAGATGCTCAGAAGGCCCTGGAGAACTCAGATCTCGATCAAACCATTCCCCCTTAAATGTAGCCTCTATAACTGCAATATTCACACAATTTCTTTCACCTTCTACAGTCTTATACAAATACCCAGTCACACGGTCAGTTGTGTTAACTGAGGTTGGTAGGACGTCTGCTGCCTTCGTGTGAGGGTATCCAAGGCCCGGGCCCGAGCACATCCTCACCAGCACGGAGAGAAGCCAGCGCCGAGCCCGGGCGTGCAAGGTGGGCATGGGGCTGAGCAGCAGCACGAGGGGCAGGCAGTAGAAGAGGAGGGGCTGCAGCTGCAGAGGGACGGGCAGGAGAGGGGCATAGAGACAGGCCAGGATGCTGGTGCACCAGCACACGGCTAAACCCCCCGCCGCCTAAAACACAGGACAGCAATGTCACTCACCACCATCCAGTCACTGGTTATCTCAGGGTCATACTGGGTATTCCTAATTCCTAATGCATAACAAAGTCTAGCTTCAATGACTGTTCAGATTTACATTGTGATTAGATTGATATCAGCCGTGATACTTTGCTTTTATCGCTTTTGTACTGCCTGTCTGAGAGAATGTTTTGCTTGCTATTGTATCCTCAATAAAACTGAACAGATGTCATACTCATTCTTACTTCAAAAAAGTGGTAGTGTGATAGATTATCTCGGCGGTCCAGCTCGAAGATGAGGACATAGTTGACTCCGGCTTTCTTCCAACCGTACACGTTGAGCCCCAACAGAAAGAGGAACTCGATAAGCAGAAACCCCCCCCTGTAGAGTCGCAGCAGTGGTCGGAGCGGCTCCCACTCTTGGACCTGTGTCACTGGTATCAGAAGGGTGGGATCCCACCAGCAGCGGGTAAGATTTGGATTAATAACAGTCTTCCATATCTCTTGTTCTTCCTTTCATACTTTTCTGCGGAGCCCTGATTCTGACATACAGATAAAATTTATATAATGTGGCCACATTTTACTAATTCGTTCGCACAATGTATTATATCGGTAACATTTTTTACCAATTCGTTCCCTCATTTTGGTTAAATCATGGCCACGTTTTATTAATTCATTCCTTCGTTCTGGTTAAATCATTGCCACGTTTTTTTAATTCATTCCTTCGTTCTGGTTAAATCATGGCCACGTTTTTTTNATTCATTCCTTCGTTCTGGTTAAATCATGGCCACGTTTTTTTAATTCATTCCCTCGTTCTGGTTAAATCGTGGCCACGTTTTTTTTAATTCATTCCTTCGTTCTGGTTAAATCATGGCCACGTTTTATTAATTCATTCCCTCGTTCTGGTTAAATCGTGGCCACGTTTTTTTTAATTCATTCCTTCGTTCTGGTTAAATAATGGCCACATTTTTTTTATTCATTCCTTCGTTCTGGTTAAATCATGGCCAAGTTTTTTTTAATTCATTCCCTCATTTTGGTTAAATCATGGCCACGTTTTATTAATTCATTCCCTCGTTCTGGTTAAGTCATGACCATGCATTACTTATTCATTCGCATGATGTGTTAAAACATGGTCCACAATATATATCATTTTTATCATTACGTCATGAGCGGGTCTCCGTACTTTTCCGCATCGACAAACATTTCTCATCATTGACTCCATGGATTTAAACTTTGTGTCATTTCTTGTTTGGGGACAGTGACTTGGGGAAGAGCATGCAAACATCTCACCTCTCAGTGCAATGAGAGCCAATAAAGCCAGCAGGAGACCACAGGTCACCCCCAACCGAAATGTGGTCCATACAGGGACAGGCTGGAGAAAGAGCTCATCATAGAAGCTGGTATATCATGGCTGAGCATCTCAACTCAGCTGAATTTACGTCCAGGCCTGTCTTTAAGGTGAGTAATTTCAGTCATTAAAAACTTCAGTTACTAATATTCTTGGTACAAGCTCATTGGAAATGGATATAGAGATTTTAATACTAAAGAAATGGAATCTGTGTTGCAATTACCCTTTGTAAGCTTGCATTCTACTTAATTTCTTCTAAATATTGCTATAAAATCTTCATTCTGTGCTTTAAAAGATACTGAATGCATTATATTCACAGACTTACCTTCATTCCTCCTATTGGTGGCAGCTGAAGTTTCCCAGCGACTTTCTGTCTGTCTCCACCCACCAACTGGCACATTAATGACTGTTGGTGGAGAGAAAGGAATAACACTCAAGGCGGATGGGGATAAAAGCAGAATGAGACTCAAGGCGGATGGGGGTAAAAGCAGAATGAGACTCAAGGCGGATGGGGGTAAAAGCAGGATGAGACTCAAGGCGGATGGGNAGACTCAAGGCGGATGGGGGTAAAAGCAGGATGAGACTCAAGGCGGATGGGGGTAAAAGCAGGATGAGACTCAAGGCGGATGGGTGTAAAAGCAGAATGAGTCTTGTGGATGTTGTGGGTTCTCCATGCTCTGTGATGGTACCACTCCTTTCGTGATGCTCCCTTGCTTACCTCCACCTCAGCGATGAACTCACATGTTCTCCTACTGCTGTGGAGCAGCGATTCATCCAGCTTCTCCTTCTTCCACTTAACACCTAGCCTCGAAGCAAACCTCACATCGTGCTTCTTCATGATCTTGCAGAAGCCCATGTAGTTCAGCTCCTAACTCAAAGATGACACGATCGAACACAAAATCTTGCTGACAGACAGAACAGTACATGCATATACTGTATCATCGAATAGACTAATACTGAAACTGCCATTTTACTATTGATGATTTTACCATTCTGTTCATGTAGATGTAAAATTCATTCTGTTTTTAAAGGATATAATGAAAGTATTCATGCAGCTGGAGTGACACACAGAGCAGAGTCTTGTATATGTGTGTGCATGCATGCATCTGTGTGGTCATAATGTATATATTACATTGTGTGGCCCAAATGTCTCCACAATGTGATAAAGACCTTTTATTTTGACGTTGTGGGGACCACTTCTTTTTGTCTACCCATGGCAATGGGTACACAGTAAAAAATTATTTTTTGTGATTGTAAATAAAGATAGTATAATTTAAGTACATTTTACAAACAAATTCTATTTTGTCTTTTTATTTGAAAATGTTATGTTTAATTCAGTCAACTATTTGAGGTTTTGATGTAATTTATTGCACTTGAATACATAGTATTCAAATAGAGTAAACTCAAATGGAAATTCCCAAGCATTATTTACTTTATATTTTGTCATTTAATGAACTAATGCAAAAATGGCAAGCTCAAGTAAAGCTTACTCCACGAAGCCAGGGAATCTATGCGCATGCTCCCTTGGGTCAGAAGTGGCGCGCAGAAGCAAAGAAAACCAACGGATCTTTTCTCGAAGAAGGTTTATACACGGTAAGTTATGAAATATTTGTTTATTGGTCAATTTAGTTACGGTTGCATTAAAGTACAGAGCTATTAAGCTGTTCTGGTGGTTAAAGATTTAACCATAGACTGTAAGTTAACGCATTGATAGAGTTGACTTTGCTAAACAACCGATTTGCACAAACATAAGTTATTAGCAAATAGCATCTGTGTCGAAAACAATTGTCTTGTATTTTACATGTAATCTACGGAGAACTTTAATGTACAGTGAACTTTGAAATTAACTTTGCCGGACGCGAGCGGAGCGGCGCGTCGTGACAAATGACAATACAACCCAATTGCTTGTGTGTTCACCTATGTGAATAAATAATCTATGAATTATAATATTAAGACCTGCTAAGGACCAGATTATTTTCTATGGTGTCCTGATACATAAAACCTTAGAATTGAGAAACTTTATTTTTCACACGACTGCACCTGTAAATAGTAAAACCAGAGAAACTGATAATTTTGCAGTTGTCTCTTAATTTTTTCAAGAGCTGTATGTACAGGACTTAAATGACTCTACACTGAAAAAAATTCGGAGTAGGATTTACTTGAAAAAAGCTTGGAAACAATTTTCACTCAGAAAAGACAAGTAAAATTACAAAAATTTGCAAAGTAAAAACCACAACATAACTTAAGAATTAAATAAAGTTTCTAAAAGTTAAGTTTACTTGGAAATTTCCAGTTAATTTAAGGGGTTAAGGTTGTCATAGTTGGAATTAGAGTTTTTCCCATGAAGTTCAATGGAGAGTCCCCAGATTAATATAGATATGTACCTAATCTGTGTGTGTGTGTGTGTGTGTGTCTGCTGCTTCTCTCCATGCCATTTGAGTTTCCTCCCATGGTCCAAAGGCATGCATTTAAGCTCTTTAGTGTTCATAAATTGCCCGTACTGTATATGCCCTGCGATGGACTGGCATCCCATACAAGGTGCACCCCAAGCTTGTGCCGCGTGCTGATTGGGAAAGGCTCCGGATCACCCCCTATGACCCTGACCAGGGTGACTGGTTGGAAGATGGATGGGTGCATTTATGTGGCCCATACTGTCACCATGTTGGAAGTAGGAGTGTTTCCTGTAGCCGACACAGGCACACCATAGGTCTGTATGTGGCCCATACTGTCACCATGTTGGAAGTAGGAGTGTTTCCTGTA